CAGAAAATGGCTGATTATGCGGAGCAATAAAGCAAAAGATGAATAAAAATAATTCATTATTCACCTTTGTTATTGTTGTTGTTTTCATTACATGCAATGTTTTGTTTGTTGATACTAGTATAATTTATGACGGGAGAGGGTGGAGTGTGCACAATAATTAGTGAGTGCTTAAGTAAAATAAAGTAAAATACCACGCAGTTGGTCCGTATGCCATAATCCTGAAGTTTAGCCCCATCATCGAGAAGCTTGTCATTATTATATGATAAGCAAAAATTGTCCCAGACATGTTTCCTGTATGTGAAGAACAGCAAATCTCTCTTATGTAAAAGGCCATATACTTATGAAGGGTTAATGAATGTGATCATCAATTGAAAAATAAGGTAGTTGCTGAGTCCACAAGAGAAAAAGTCAAGAGAAAAGGCACTTCCATAAACAATGACAATAGGGGTTCTTTTGGAACCTGGAATATCATCATCATCGTCATCAAAACCTTAAACCCAACTAATTAGGGTTGGTGGCATTATGTTTAGTGCTAATTAATTGTATATAATCTTAAGACTATATTCATGCAAAAAATGCATGAGAAGAAAATTAAAAGCAAACAAAATATGTCAATACAAAAAAATGGTTCAAAATCAATTTCTCGTTTTGGATATTTGTTAAGACAATTTCTTTTTATATTTCTTTTATATAAAAACTGATATAATTCGCAAGTTTAAAAAGTTTTCAAAGTTGTGAAAACAACCAAAATGGTTTAAGTTGTTCAAACCTAGAAGTTATGCCCAGATACAAAAATATACAGCTTTTTAGGATTACTCTGTCTCAGAAGAAATAAGCTAGAGGCAGGAAATGATGAGCCCGTTTGGTAGCACAAAAATCGGCTGTTTTGGCTGATTCTGTTGAAATTTATGAAGTTCTGGCTGAAGTGGCTGTATTGGTTGATTCTGCTGATTTAAGAAAAAAATTATTTTTAAAATATATTATATTAATAAAATAAAGAAAACTTTCATATAAAAATAGCTAAAATGATCATCAAAGGTAACTTCAACCAATACAACCAGAAAAATAACTTCAACCTTACTTTTTCTGCTTATTACACAATTCAGCGCGTGAAAGTAAAAATTATTACGTATGTGTTTGGTGAAAAAGTTGGTTGATAAGTCTAATAAGCCGAAAACCAGTGATTCCAAACGGCATCAATGTTATCTTCCTTGTAGCAATCAAGCCAAAATAAACCTGGGTTGTTTTTGTTGGTTGTTTGAACTTTGAAGATTCAGTTAAATAGCCTAGAATGATTAGTGTGTGGGCTTTAGTGATTTATCAACATTTTGTGAAGACTCGAACCAGAAGTACTTTCGATGCTTATTCATTTCTCATTATAATCCTAATATTTCATATTTGCATAAACGTTTTCAGCCAATACTAGTAAAAGATGTGTTTTATTCACACTATAAATATGAAACCACTCAAGAAATCAACACCTGAATGATATATGTGCCAATTAATAACGCCAAAATTAGGTTCATCTCTACGAATAAAGGCACAAATCTAAGCATATTGGCACATGGATGTTAGCAAGAGATTTGATACCTCCATATTAAGGGTTTGTGACTGCTTCTCTCTATGATGTGGTTGATGCAAGTTGGTTCATCTCCAAAAAATCCTGGCTTGATGCACGAAGCGGCGCTGGTGGAGTACCTTCGATCGACGGCGGGACTCTGGCGGCGGAAGTTCAGGCGGGGGTGGCGACCAAAGGCAGAGTTCCGGCGGCAGTCTAGTCTCTAGTGGTTGGCCCAACCGGTATGCTAGTTCCTACCCAAGCATGAGTATGAGTGTATGACCCCATTTACGAAATTTTAAACATTCACTTTTTTTTTTTTTTTTTTTTTTTTCTGCATTTCTTTGTTCCAATTGAGGGAATAATCTCTAATTAAAATTCATGAATAAATAAACTATTTTGAAAATTTGTTTCATTGAATTGTAAAAGGCAAACTAGGATACAATAAGTTTGATACTCAAAATTATTGAAAAGACTAGCGGATACTCGCACAAGGCGCGAGAGCTTGTGCCAAATTTAAAGTGTTTTTTCTTTTAAAGATGGTTATAAAATGTAAGATTGGTATACAGTTTACGAAATGTCCTATTTTTTCACTTTATGTAAACTAGTAACTCACCCGTGCGATGCACGGACAGACAAATTCCATACAATCTAATCAAGGAATTAACAATATGCAACAAAAAGTGTTTTTTTTTTTATTTCAATTCAAGGAGATCAATTAAATAGTACGTACCACTTGTAAACAATTACTACAACAAAATTTAACATGAGTTTTACAAATTTTGAAAAGCTTTTTGGTAGATAACAATTAACATTGATGGTTTTTGTTGTGCTTCAAAAGTCACTATCTATCATTAAAAATTTCAGCCTTTTTCGATTTGTAACTCTAGAAACCACAACGTAGAGCCGACCGTACGTAGAGAAATCTAACTTCTTTAACAACAATCTTACATGAGACATTACCCTGGCCTTTCTTAATAGTCATTGCATAAGCGACCATTACTGGATATTGTCTCAATCTTAAATTTGAAACGAAGTCGCACATCTGAAAACATTAGTGATAACCTTGAAATGAGAACGTAACACATTCACCCATGCTCCTGCCAGTGATAACATTGACTTCTAAAATATGTTCATCTAGCCTCCTAATTATGAGTCACGTATCATTGAATAATCATATTGAATGGTCTATGTTTCGTAGAAGCACCACAAGGGTACCTACTTTCAGTATGAGCTCATGATTGGCTACACCTGAAAGAGGAATCTTATTCAAATTTCTGAAGTCTGCAAATACGTAAGTAAATCAACATTAAAATGTGACTTGCATATAATGCTTGAACTCAAATAAGTTCTACACTTGTGATTTATTAAGAGAAATCACATTAGTGCTGAAATAGCCCTCTCTTAACAATAATTGCAGATAAACACTCAACAATAATTTTGATTGGATCTCTTGAAGTTGGTAGGAGAAGGTTTCCACTAATTTCAAATGAATCCAATATTTATCTATAATATCTATTTATTTTAATCTCATAAAAATTAACTAAATTAGTCATTCCAACCCAACCCAAAATGATACACTCCAATAGAAAATTTAAGGCTAACCGCAACCCTCACTGGCAATAAATTAAATTACCCACCAATTTATAAATATCCATTCAGTCAATTCAATTTTTTTCTGTGACCCGGCACTGACAATATATTCACTTAGTAAATGTTTTTTTAATTATAGCCTTACTTTATCATTTATACATGACTTTTGCCAATTTTTTGTCAGCAACTGTGACTCAAAAAGGCAAATTCAGATAGAAAAATCAATACATTATGAGTTTAATTTTCTTTTGTTACTTTAGACCTATATAAAAATAATAATTGATTTAAAAAAAAATCATGAGATCTTAATTTTTAAATAAAATTAGGTCTAAAAATCTTCATCAACTGAAACTCAATATTTCCTTCGTACATGCAGAACTGCTTGCCGAATCTGACATCTCTCCTCAGTGAATATTGGCACCAACTGCTCTCACGAGTGTCCCTAATTCACTTTGACACCTATAAGGCTATAAATACATTTCAATAGATTTAGTTAACAACAATGTTTGATGTACTCACTCTTATATCCACCTTATATCCACAATGTTTATGAAGTGTTTTTTATCTGTGAACCTGATTCACAGACAATATTTTGTTTGTGCAAAATATTGTCTGTAAACCGGGATTCACAGATAATAAAAAAATACTTCACAAACTTAGGTGGGTACAAAAGTGGGTATAAGAGTGAGTACAAACATCATTTTTGTTTAGTTAATTCAAAAATGAATTTTTTACTTGGATTGGGGCACATTTGAAATGACTATGGAAATTGGCAATCAAATTTGTTATTTTTCACCCCTGTACGGCCTAAAAGTACAAAGAAGATATTCATTAACACTACAATTTAATGCACTTTTTAATTCAATATCATTTTAGTATAAATGAGGCTCCAAATGACATATTACGTGTTAAATACCATTATTTATACTAATATACTTTCTTCCTTCTTAACTACGTAAATGGTAAACTTTTCATATTTGCTTATGCACAGTTTTGACAGTAATATATATAATTCTCTAATTATAAAAAATTTTAAAAATAGATTTTGAAAATTTACAATGACACATTTAATAATATTCTTTGCAAAAAACATTAATTTAAATAATTCGTAATCAAAGTAAAAAATGTGAATAGTGTGAAAATTAACATGTTGCACACATTAAATCTATATAAACTCAATAACATTAGAAATAACAAAAAAAAATCACCATGCAGTGGATCAGACAGAAAATCACACATCCTCTTGGACAAATTGAATTAGCCCAATATACGGGCACATCTATCAACACACCAACCATATCTAAATAAATTTTCCTTAGGGTTCGAGGTAAGCCGACAAACCCTTCGTCTCCTCCTACCACCCATCGATCCCTTCCTCTTGTCTTCACACTCAGTATTTTATCAATTACTTCGTATATTTATAATATCTCTTGTGTCCACACTCAACATTTTATCAATTATACTTCTAATAAACTTACTATGTGTTTTTCAATGACTTTACCAATAATTATGCTAAATCGAAGTAGGATGTCAGGGCCCATTTTAAAAAACAACATGCTTTCTAGCTGATTTCCTTTTTTTTTCTTTTTAGGATTGTCAAGCAACCCTCTACAATTAACCTCTTCACTACATTTCTATTTTCAGTACCCTCAATTAGTCCCCAATGTAAGAATTTAGGAGTCCAAAAGTTGCATCTTTAATATTTTGGACTCCTAATACCCTAGCAGTACAAAATCCAAATGGTCTAACAATTATTCACGGGCCAATAATATGGAGTATCTAACAATACAGACAGGCCCACCACAAGCAAAAAAGTCGCTCCAATATTAAACTATGTGTCTAGGGTTTGTTTGTAAGTTCCAAACGGTTCATCTCCCTTTCTTAGCCTATGTTCAACCTAAAAGCTTCTTTGTACACATCCTAAAAGCTCTAGCCGCGGAACATGCATAACAACAAATATATACGATCGATCTTTGGTCCAGCATAACTCAGCACCAGACCGATCTATATACCAAAATGTCGATGCTCTCTGCCACCTTGTCCGAATAACTCTCGCCAACACCAGTAATTTCTATCGCGAAAAAACTATGCTCATCAACGGAATCAGCTACCTATGATAGTTCTATATCGCAAGGTTAGCCTGATACCTCATCATCTGGGATATCTTTGAGAGTTTGAGACTGACGAATATTTCATCTTCTTATTTTTTAGGTAAGGAGTAAAAGATGAATTCCTATTTTTAGTATTTATTTATTTATTAAAATCAGAGAACAATTTCCAATTAAAAAAAGTTTTCTCAATGGCATGATGTATTTAACGTGTTTTTCACATTTACCATTTGTTACAGTAATTAGTTGACAGACATACCATGGAGAACACATGAAGACCATTCCGTCGGCGATACGTAAGTAAAGTCAATTTTATCACTTATCTGATTTTTTAATAAAAGATTTATGAAATGATTGTCTTCTGATTATAAATTATTGTTTTTTAATCCCAGCTCCGAAATTTTGTTCGAAGGAATATGGTAATTTGTTTTTGTAAAATAATACAGATCACAACTTTAAGAAGAAATACTCTGTAGTATGGAGTAGTTTAAATAAAAACTCTGCTAAATGATACACTTTGTTCTTATTTTACGTTTTATAGTAACCTCTTCTCGCAGCATTTGTTGAAGTTTAATTGGGCAATATTAACTTAAAGCAATTTTTAATGTAGAAAATTTTGAATGAGCTTTTTTGTATAGATATAACGGTGAAACTTTGCTTTGAAAGGTTTAAACTTGGACGAAACAACAAATTTGGGACAAAAGTACACTTCATCATACTTATTTTCGGCAAATAATCTACACTATAACGTACTGTAACATAGAAATATTTCAAAACTGTGACTTGAAAATGTTGTTTACATAAAACATATAGATGGTATTTAGGGGGTAAAGACCTCTTTATACCGAACTTGATATTGATTTTATTACGAAGTACAATTTAAAGAACCTGTGAGGCTGTGATAGTACAAAGGAATCAACTGGCTAACTTGAAAAACATGGACTTATAATGTTTAATCTAGAAAGAATTCAATTTGAAAGTGACTTGTTATCAATCCTCTTTATACATTTACATTACTCATTACCAAACTCTTTATACATGGACTTATAATGTTTAATCTAGAAAGAATTTAATCGTCTTTCTGGGTAACTTCTTGTGACATATTAGAATGTATTGATCGAACTCATGTTGCTGCATCTCATTTTTACTCGATTACTCATGACCCTGCTTCTTTGAAAAATTGCTTCCAAGTGTAATTCCTGCAGATTGAGTATGTTACTTTACTTCTGCCCCAGCCAAATATACGAAACTTAAATTCATAATAACCCCATATCCCCACCCCCATATCTTTCTCACTTTTGTACAAACTCTCAAGTCCCAACTGAACTATCAGATTCATAGTGCTAATGTAAACACTACAACAAGACAATGTACATCCACACAAATCCAAATGTAAGTACCATGTTAATTCTCTAGGGGTTTGTTGGGATGAAGGTTTATGGAGGCTTAGTCAACTTTTTAATAAGCAGAATATTCTGATATCAAATTTTTCTAAGAAATATTTCTGGAGGTTTGTTAGGATTGAAGGAGAATATTTCAAGGAGTTGAGGGGTGTATATGCAAATCTTCCGATAATGGGCCTGATTGCAAAATCGTGAATAGCTCGAGAGCTTATTTGCCCCTTTTCTCTTCAACTAAATAGCCTAAAATATTTCGATTTTGCAATCAAGCCCATTTAGTTCATCTTTTAATTTTTTTATTAAATCCCAAACGTACATATGAAGATATAATGCCATGTCCTCCAAATCCCTAAAAAAACAAAAACCCTTCAATCCAGTGATCTAAACAAATTTTCAGTCTATATCTGAATAAATATGATCCTTAAAAACGAATAAAGATGATTGAAATTTAATATGATCACCTATTATATTAACATTTAAGATTTTATGAAATCTTAAATACTTCTCCCTTCGTCCCGCTATGATTGTCCCATTTTACCATTTCAGTCCGTCCCACAAAGATTGTCTCATACCTTATTTGGTAAAGTTTGTGTGGTTCTAAATCATTTCTACTTTATTCTTACTTTATAAATTCAATATCAATCACATAAGCCCACTTTTATTAATAACCGTGCTACTTTCTCTTGTCCCAAACTTAAGTGGACGGAGGTAGTATACATCAAGATTCAAGATATAGATGTAAGCCCTCCAACGCCTTCCCCTCCATCTAAACAATCCCTATGTTTAATTCATAAAGGAACTTGATGCATTTGAACATCTAAATAAAACCCTGGGCATTTTTTAAAAACAACTACAGAAACAAATGTCGCTAATCTATTGCGAATCCTACCCCAACCCCGCAATCACACACAACAAACAATTACCTTTGCTTTCTTTAATCTCTGCAGAGAGGTCCAATGAAGAGACCTGCAGCATCCAAGAACATTTTAAAGAGAAAGTGACTTCCGCCAGGCACCAAACAGATTAACAACTAACAACAAGAACAAAACAAGAGCAACTTTGCACCAAAGATAGTTTTCTAACCAATAAATATGCAACTGATATTTAAAAAACAGGATATCCTTATAAAGAATCAAGGGTGGCACCATCATATAACATAGGAACAACATACAATAAAATATCCAATTAAAATATCGATTAGAAGTTAGAACCACCCAAATGAACCAGCCAGAATTTGGCATCATAAATATCATATCACACTGATATCACATACGAAGTATAATTTTTTAAAGTGAAAGGCCCAAAACACAGAAGAAGAGAGTTTCCGTGAGTCCGTGGCCATTAGCACGCAATTGGCAATACACTTGGCATTGACTATTATGTTGTGGCTACTGCAATAGTCATTAGAACATATTCAAAATTTTAAATTCCATCAGCATTGTTATTGATGGGAGTACAGGTGACAACAATAAAACAAGCAAGAGAAAAACAGACTAGATTATTTAAAAAACTTCAAGCCGAATACAATTATCATCAAGTCATCAATTACTGCAAGAAGAATGAAATTAAAAGCATAATAAATTACAAAATTTTTTTTGTACAAACTGTAATGAATGGCCAATGAGCCAGTTTGTACATTACTACGTATTTTTTTAATGAAATTCTCCAAATGGTTGCATTTAACAATTCAGCTTACAGTTTCCTTAGAGTTGATGGGTATACTATTTATCTTCCTTGTAGCAATCAAGCCAAAATAAACCTGGGTTGTTTTTGTTGGTTGTTTGAACTTTGAAGATTCAGTTAAATAGCCTAGAATGATTAGTGTGTGGGCTTTAGTGATTTATCAACATTTTGTGAAGACTCGAACCAGAAGTACTTTCGATGCTTATTCATTTCTCATTATAATCCTAAGATTTCATATTTGCATAAACGTTTTCAGCCAATACTAGTAAAAGATGTGTTTTATTCACACTATAAATATGGAACCACTCAAGAAATCAACACCTGAATGATATATCTGCCAATTAATAACGCCAAAATTAGGTTCATCTCTACGAATATGCTTAGATTTGTGTCTTTATTCGTATGATTTTCAAAAATATCATCCACATCATCAAAACAATCCCAAAATAAACTTATGAATGGGGATTATTAGTTTCCATTTTTTTTAACCAAACAGAACCTTATCAGATAGACTCTCATCTTCTAATAGTTCTCATCACTCTTTCTTTCCATTCTCCCCATTGTGCACGGACAAAACCTCACACACTCATGCCACATCATCACCGCGCCTCCACGACAGCATTTTAATATCTTTCTGCTTTGGAGCATCTTAAATCTCATCTCTTATGCCGATTGTAAGCTTCCCTTCAATCTCTGATTATATTTCCATAGTTTGAATTAACCTTCTTTGTAAACTCCAGTTGAATTTAGTTACTTAAATTGTGAAATTTTGAATTGAACAAATTGTTGGAATTAAACTGATGCATTTTCAACAAATTTTTGAAACTTAAATCTTTTGGAGTTTAGATGCTTGAGCTTGTTACCTGCAATGGAAATTTGATTATTGCTCGAATTTTGGAATCAAAAGTTTTAAGTAAAAAATTACTGAATTTTTTGAAATCTGAATTTGATTTTTGTTTCAAATATTGGAACAATAGAATTGGAAATTCAGGGGTTGCTCGGAAATTCAAACTGATAGTTTTCATGTCCAGAAACTACTTGATTTTTGGTCATAGCTCATTCCAACATGCTGCCACTTTTTAGTTAGGTAGACACTGTAGAACATCTCATGTTCATGTTATAAAACCTGGATTGGCTTCCGGTCAAATTGTTTGAATGAATGTAGTGAGGTTAAAAATTGGGTATTGCGAATTTGAGGCCTTGTTTGTCGCTTTGTGCATAGCACACTGCCTAAGCCTCATTACACAATGAGGTGCATGGCTGAGGCGTAACCCTTATTATTTACAATTATACGTATAAAAAGTTATAAATAATAAACAAATATTCATCAAAATCAACAATTTCATAAATATACTTTTGTATCTTTATATCCACAATTCACAAACAGTAACACATTTATTCTACCCACTCACAATGATAAACTATGAGGCCGTTTGGCAACACTGTTTTTCGGCTTATCAGGCTTATCAACCAACTTTTTCACCAAACGCGTAACTTTTGCTTTCGCGCGTTAAATTGTGTAATAAGCAGAAAAAGTAAGGTCGAAGTTACTTTTCTGGCTGTATTGGCTGAAGTTACTGTAGATGACCTATTTATCTTCCTTGTAGCAATCAAGCCAAAATAAACCTGGGTTGTTTATGAATTAAACATAGAGATTGTTTAGATGGAGGGGAAGGCGTTGGAGCGCTTACATCTATATCTTGATGTATACTACCTCCGTCCACTTAAGTTTGGGACAATAGAAAGTAGCACGGTTATTAATAAAAATGGGTTTATGTGGTTGATATTGAATTGATAAAGTAAGAATAAAGTAGAAATGATTTAGAACCACACAAACTTTACCAAATAAGGTATGAGACAATCTTAGTGGGACGGACTGAAATGGTAAAATGGGACAATCATAGCGGGACGAAGAGAAAAGTATTTAAGATTTCATAAAATCTTAAATGTTAATATAATAGGTGATCATATTAAATTTCAATCATCTTTATTCGTTTTTAAGGATCATATTTATTTAGATATAGACTGAAAATTTGTTTAGATCATTGGATTGAAGGGTTTTTGTTTTTTTAGGGATTTGGAGGACATGGTATTATATCTTCATATGTACGTTTGGGATTTAATAAAAAAATTAAAAGATGAACTAAATGGGCTTGATTGCAAAATCGAAATATTTTAGGCTATTTAGTTGAAGAGAAAAGGGGCAAATAAGCTCTCGAGCTATTCACGATTTTGCAATCAGGCCCATGATCGGAAGATTTGTATATACACCTCTCGACTCCTTGAAATATTCTCCTTCAATCCTAACAAACCTCCAGAAATATTTCTTAGAAAAATTTGATATCAGAATATTCTGCTTATTAAAAAGTTGACTAAACCTTCATCCCAACAAACCCCTAGAGAATTAACATGGTACTTACATTTGGATTTGTGTGGATGTACATTGTCTTGTTGTAGTGTTTACATTAGCACTATGAATCTGATAGTTCAGTTGGGACTTGAGAGTTTGTACAAAAGTGAGAAAGATATGGGGGTGGGGATATGGGGTTAAAAACGATAGTTTCCTTCAAAGATAATCTTGCATCATGTGTGCATATATATATGTACATCTAAACACTAAGACATACGTATAAGCACGTATGAAATTGTAAACAATACATAATTTTGTGCTTTAAAAATAATAATCAGATGATACGGAGAGAAAGAACACTAGTAATGCACCTGAGTATCAGAGTAGCAATGTGAAGAAGGCAAGGCTGCATTTAACACTCGGTGCTCTCCTTAATGATCCGATACTAGCTGATGTGCCCAAAAACCCATCATTCTCTGATATAGATACCCTCATAAGCTTGGAACTTGGCAGTGCCATGCGGATTACCATCCTTAAATTGGACAACACCTCTGTTGGTAAATGAGATTACTCCATTGTCCATCTCTATCCAGTGATATGTTGAAATGCATTGAATGCAAATAATAGGGTTATGAATGGTTTCTTGTGTGGTTTTTCGTAGATGTTGTTGTCCTGAACTCTGCAACAGTTAAGGACTTGAAACAAGCAGTTAAAAAGAAGATTGAAGAGATGGAGGATTCCAACATGGGTCATCGCCACATTTCTTGGTATGTAGTTAGAATTTGTATTGTAAGATCACATCGATGCCATTTGGAATCACTGGTTTTCGGCTTATCAGACTTATCAACCAACTTTTTCACCAAACACATACTACGTAATTTTTAATTTCACGCGCTGAATTGTGTAATAAGCAGAAAAAGTAAGGTTGAAGTTACTTTTCTGGTTGTATTGGTTGAAGTTACCTTTGATGATCATTTTAGCTATTTTTATATGTTAAGTTTTCTTTATTTTATTAATATAATATATTTTAAAAATAATTTTTTCTTAAATCAGCAGAATCAACCAATACAGCCACTTCAGCCAGAACTTCATAAATTTCAGCAGAATCAGCCAAAACAGCCGATTTTTGTGCTACCAAACGGGCTCACCATTTCCTGCCTCTAGCTTATTTCTTCTGAGACAGAGTAATCCTAAAAAGCTGTATATTTTTGTATCTGGGCATAACTTCTAGGTTTGAACAACTTAAACCATTTTGGTTGTTTTCACAACTTTGAAAACTTTTTAAACTTGCGAATTATATCAGTTTTTATATAAAAGAAATATAAAAAGAAATTGTCTTAACAAATATCCAAAATGAGAAATTGATTTTGAACCATTTTTTTGTATTGACATATTTTGTTTGCTTTTAATTTTCTTCTCATGCATTTTTTGCATGAATATAGATTATATACAATTAATTAGCACTAAACATAATGCCACCAACCCTAATTAGTTGGGTTTAAGGTCTTGATGACGATGACGATGCCACCAACCCCTATTGTCATTGTTTATGGAAGTGCCTTTTCTCTTGACGTTTTCTCTTGTGGACTCAGCAACTACCTTATTTTTCAATTGATGATCACATTCATTAACCCTTCATAAGTATATGGCCTTTTACATAAGAGAGATTTGCTGTTCTTCACATACAGGAAACATGTCTGGGACAATTTTTGCTTATCATATAATAATGACAAGCTTCTCGATGATGGGGCTAAACTTCAGGATTATGGCATACGGACCAACTGCGTGGTATTTTACTTTATTTTACTTAAGCACTCACTAATTATTGTGCACACTCCACCCTCTCCCGTCATAAATTATACTAGTATCAACAAACAAAACATTGCATGTAATGAAAGCAACAACAATAACAAAGGTGAATAATGAATTATTTTTATTCATCTTTTGCTTTATTGCTCCGCATGATCAGCCATTTTCTGAAACACAAACGATGATTCACAGGTACAATTTGCTCCCTATGTTATGTCAAGAGCCTCACAACGACATTCCAGGAGTAGAAAACACCGGTTCTTCCACGGCCTTAACAAAACTGGATGAACTTTGTAATTTGTATCATTTCATCAGAGTTAGATTGGGGAAGAATGTATTGCTGTAAAGATTGGGGAAGAATTTTAGCAGAACTTGTAAATCGGGAAGACCAATGCCATCAATTAAAGATTAAATATTGAACACCATTTATAATATATATAAAAAAAATTGACTTGACCAACATTGACTTTGCCTATTGATGCAATGACGTTGCAAACTAGACTTGGACAGTTATAAAATACACAAAGACTAAACATCTATTAGGCCAGATCAGTTCAAATCAGAACATAGAAAATACCAAACCAGAAAATTTTAGTCCAATTAAACGCGTCCTTAGACATTATATTTTGTTTTATCGATATATATATATATATATATATATATATATATATATATATATTATTTTCTATTTTATCTCTCATTAACTCTTAGTTTAATGCAATATCCTTTTGGAAAGAAACCAATATGGTTTGTAGGCGACATGCTCTAATTTTTTTTTGAAAAGACACTAGTTAATTATTTATTAATCATGTCACGGTTCAAGGAAGCAGTAATACAATATGGAATATTAAAAAGCCAAACACAACGATTAGACATAAGAACAACAGCTCTAGCAAGATCATGGGCCATCCGATTTACAGACCGCCTCACATGAGAAAATGAAGTACTAGCAAAACTAGATGGAATATCTCTTATGTCATCAATAAGAAGACCCACTGACGAGTCACCGTCTCCAGATTTTATTCGAGTGATAACTTGAAGAGCATCTGACTCACCATCGATATTATCCTAGCATGCATTCTTGAGCCAACTCAGCGCCTCATGGACAGAGCCTCAGCCACTTTTGGATTAAAACAGCTGATCCGTCTATTAGTCCCACCTGCTACAAAATTGCTAGCACTATTCCGAACCACCCAACCCAAGCCACATCTTTGGCCAAAAATAATAGCAGCATCTGTGTTCAAATTTTAATCTGCTCTCCTCCGGTCTTCTCCAGCTCGCCAAGTTACTATACAATTGTATGGCCTTACCAGCCCCCTCTTGAGCTCTGCGCCACCCCTCCAGAAAAGTCATTGCTTCCATGGCAATACTCCTTGCTACAACATCCTTCCTGGCGTGCCATATACTCCATAATGACATAAACACAGCAACTCTCTTCCTCCCTATGTTGAAAATTTATCTCCACCCAGTCACTGAAACTCTACCCAGCAACGACGGAATGCAGTCGCATTAATTCCCATACCTGCTCAACCCTGCGAGGCTGCGACATTGCCCAAAAAATGCAATGTATTTTCATCCTCTAAGGAACACATAGGGCACAATTGCGAACAAGCAACTCGCCGAATAGTGAGCTTATCTGACGTGAGCAGAAAACCCGCACAGGCCTGCCAGAATAAAAGCCTTAACTTTTGGAGGGATACTTTTAGATTGAGAACTGCATTTCTATAAGGGAAGGTCATTTATACATTTAAAGAATTCTAGCACTTGAAAAAAAACATATAATTTCTGCTCATCTAAAGAATAACATAAAAAGAATTATTAAAAACACACTGGTATCTTATTACTCTTACCTTTTCATGTGCAGGTACTCGTAACTTTGAATAATACGAAGCATTTTATATGCAGCATTGCTTGGGTTGAAAGTGCTGGAACGAATGAACCTTGTACATGTATTTATAGAATTTCTGATATCTATTGAACAAGCAAGCAAATAGAAAGGCTTACATGGTAATCACTGCTTGTTTTTCACGATGTGTGTAAAACATATTGGGAGTTGGTCTCAGAATTCGTAAAGGCAAAGCATCCAGAAAATTAATTCATCCAGAAAATCACAACTTAATTGAAGAGAGGCTATACATAAAAGCAATTCCTCTGCGGATACCGAACCGACTGCTTGGGCAGTTGGGCGGGGTGACGAATTAGTAACAACAAACATCCAGCAGACACTATTCAATGCATTAATTGGGAACAGTATTCTTACAATTATGTTCGCCGAATCCATTAAAAAGTACCTATTCATTATAGCAATTCCGTGAACCCAAACAGTATTCATTTGTCATGCATTAAATGATTAAATGATCGTAATATTCTAGTGCACTTCTCTGTAGGCATAGCAGGATGGACTTCTAATCTATTTAGGAGGGAACACTGTTCAGAATCAATTTGCTATTATATTATAATAGATAGTTTACGAAATGTCCTTTTTTTAAATAAATTATTGTGTCAATTATATTCTTGGGGCAGATTTGTCTGGAATATGCTTCTTGAGGGGAAGGTATATGGAACATTGGAGAATCGTGCACAAGCTATGCATGTTTGAAATGAGTTGTATCTTATTTGTCTGGTTTAGCATTTCATCAAGCATATTTATGCAGAGTTAGCATGTAAGCATGTTAGCGTCATGTGACTTTAAGGATGAATGCTAACAACTTCACTAAACTTCACCAGCAAAGCCCCTGTTAGAACTTGTTACAAAAATTATTTACCAACGGAACTTGTTAGCTAAACCTTTCATAAAAGTTGAACACGAGAAGTCTAGCAAGGCTAAGTGGCTATAATCTAGCCATGCCCCTCTTTAGTTCTAGAAATACTATCTCCGTATTAAACATAGCTTTTAGCAAGCTATTAGTCATCATTTACAACTTTGCTTCGAGCCATAATAAAGTTTAATGATAAAAATATACAAAAGTACTAAACAATAACCCAGATTTGAATTCTTGAATATTAAAGTAAAAAAAATGAACATCATGGAAAAGGTTTATTCCAAAGTTGAGTTAATGTACTAACTCACACCATAAATTTGTGCTACATAAATTACACTATTAGATATAAAAAAATGTTTTATACCAAATTTATAGAGCAAGGCTTAAATTTTTCTAAAAAATAGAACTTTAATGGCAGACATGATCCTGCCTTCACAATCAACCTTGTGGGGGAGATCCTATAGCTATATTTCCGCATATACAAACATGTGTACAACCAAATAAAAATGTCATTTATAACATTATATAGTTCAAATTTAGCAGTTTAACCTATATCTCTGTGTCAGGACTACATTTCGTTATTACCAAATACCAAACCTCTAGGCTTATGTCCAAATGTTTGGCTTATATAACCTATTCAGTGAAAAGTCATACTTCTATTGTTTTTTTCCAATCAATTTTTCTTGTTTTCCCCTTAGATAACAATGTACAACATGTTATGCACAAAGTGTATTGACACAAATAAGGAGTATCAACTCTCATTCACCATTATAATGTTGTTAGATAATTGTGTTAATGAAGAGAACTAAAATATAAATCATTTTAGACACAAAGAGTATTCTAAATGTAATATACTCACAATTCAATAAACTCAGTCGCATAGTTTCTACTTCCTTCCTCTTTTATAACTTTACCAAGTAGTCATTACATTGGGTGAAATTCTCACACTGCCTGACTGCCGTCACCACATATTAAACATGATATCTCAACTCAAATAACTCACTCAGCTACAATTGAGCCACTGAAAACAAAAAAAAAAAACAATTTTACCAAACATTAGGAAGGGGGGAGAGAGATGAAACACATTTTTTTTATAAAAATGGAAAAATGAATTTATACTAAAATGGATGAAAAAGGAAAGAATAAATTTTGTTTTGGGACAAAGTAGTAACTTGTCCCAAAACAAATTTATTTATGAATTGAGTTATTACATTGTCTCCGGTATCACTCATTACTATCACTTATTTTTACATTAAATAGCATGTGAATGTTATTGTTCATTAATGGAAAAAATAATTAAAATACCCCAAACTTTGAAGGAGTGTGAGATAAATACCTCAAACTTTCATATGTCATTTAAATACCCTAAATTTTATATAAAAAGTTATTTTAACACCATGATCATATATTATTTTTTTATAAATATATATTTATGTTGTTAATTGAATAATTTAGAATAAAAAATTAAAAACACTCCAATTATATAGAGTGGGAGTAGTATTATTTATTTTACAATGGAAGTTTATAATGTTAATTGTATCTTCATGATTGCTCAAATATTTTAAATTATGAAATTAACACAAAAAACTAACATTTTTGAAAGAAATAATACATGACCATGGTGCTAAAATAACTTATTATATAAAGTTTAGAGTATTTAAATTACATATGCAAGTTTGGAGTGCTTGCCTCACACCTCTTCAAAGTTTGGGGTATTTTAATTATTTTTCTCTTCATTAATTGAGTAATGCTACATTGCTAGATATCAAATGTTTTTCCTAAATATTACTAAAATAAAATTTGTTGACATAAATGTGAATAGAGTGACTATGAGTCTATAAGTACATTTTATTATCACTGCAAAATTTGAATATAATTATAATCACTAAAAATGGTAAGTCACATTTTTTACCACTATCCTTAATTTAGTTATATACGGAGTATTAGATATTAAAAATGATCATGTACATATGGATGTACAGGAGGCTCCGTACGGACAAATCCATCAGAGGCCCTTTCCGGTGGAATTTTTTGATGAAATATTTTGAGCATGTTCATCATCAAGTCTAGTTTATCCATACCAAATTTCAGCTTAAAATTCGATCTGAAAGGTAGTCAAATAAATGAAATATAGGCACTTTCTGTGCACATATAATATGCAGTATATTTCAAGAATTTGTTTGACTACCTTCTCGATCGAATTTTGAGTTGAAATTTGGTATGGATAAACTCGACTTGATGAAGAACATGTCAAAATATTTCATCAAAAAATTATGCCGGGAAGGACCTCTGATGACTTTGTCCGTATGGAGCTTCCTGTACATCCATATGTACAGGAACAGCCCTCTACATCTAAATATGTATACATTATTATGTTCCGTATATTTCTTTGTACAAACTACAAAGTAATTAATGCACCACAGGGTCCAGAGTATCCATCAAAATTCTCATCATATAATAAGTGAATGCAACACAGTAATGTATTAGTACAAAACATCCAACGCTGTCAGCTGATTTTCATGTACAAGGATTCCCTTTATGCTGTAAAAGCTGATTTTTAAACGGAATTATCTATCCTAACAAGAATTCATTTTGATTCATTGATTATTATTACCGGCCCAAAGATAACAGTTTGTTGAAACCTGAAATAATCCCAAAAAAATCTCTAACACAAGGTTTTAAAAGCTGTATACCAATATA